ATGGTTTGAATATATTTATGTAAAGCTGATTTTCAGACCGTAAGTTGTTTTTTTATTGAGTATCTGTCCTGAGAACTATTTTTTTTATTTATAGAGTAACTACCACATGGTACTAAGTAACTACCACATGGTACTCAGTAACTACCACATGGTACTCAGTAACTACCACATGGTACTCAGTAACTACCACCTGGTACTCAGTAATTACCACATGGTATGCAGTAGAGATCTGCACGGGCCGGGTAGCCCGAACGGGCCTCAGGCCATGCCCGGCCCGAACACGGGCCACGGGCCGGTTTCGCACTGTCAATAGGGGTCGGGCCTCGGGCCGGGCCGGTTCCGCACTTTAAATAAACACAACTTTGCTTCTGTACATGTTTTTGAGACACCCTGTATTATAATAGGTGTTTTTAAGCTATGTTTTTGTGAAATTGATAGATTGTCTGGAATCGACAAAGAACTACTTGGAATAATTGTAATTGAAAGGATTTTTGTAATTTTATTTTGATCATTATTAACTTTCCACAAACCGGGCCGGGCTTACAAAACCTACTTCTCTTCTCGGGCCGGGCCGGGTCGGGCTACAAAAAACCGGCCCGTGCAGGTCTCTAGTATGCAGTAATAATGCACTAATTATTGTATGTTTCACCCACTTTCATTTTGTATGGACCTATGCAGACCCTAAGACAGTGTTCCTGACATTACATTCGTTCTTTTGGCTGATATCGAAGACTTCTCCTGCCATAGTCATCTGCATCCACTTCTGTTAGTCTGGAGAATACCTAACTACCTGTTTACATCATAAGAAACTATATACAGATAAGTCTCTTAAGTTTGATACACAAGGTACGCTTTTATTTTATAATTTTTGAGACAACAGATTTAATAACCTGGTAAATTATCACTATTTATCCCACATATTGTAGTCAAAATTCTTTTTTATTTAACGTTATAAGTTATAATTTGATTCGTACAGTACACTCTTACTTAGCTATGATATTTCATATGAAAATTATTAACACGTATTCATTTTAAAGGTTTTTGTACACGACATGTTTCGAGACATCATCGTATTGAGACACATAAATTTCACCTGTTTTTATATTAAGTAGCTTACTTAGTTCAAAGAATACAGTTACTAAATTCGAATCTATTTAAAATAACTTGCGGTTTTATTGGGATCACTGTGACTAATTGATGATACTTGTGTTCGTTTTCAATAAATGTTTAATGTAGGATAGTTATTTCTGACTTTTATTCCTGATAAACATAATAGACCCTTAATGCTGTTGATTACTTTATTTTAGCTATGTTGTGATATCGTATTTTTCTTTTTGGTTTCTTACTTTACCACTCTCATAAACAAAGTAAGTGGCGCCCTTTTCACTGTCTTTGACCATACCTATTTGAATTCTTAACATCAATATTCTCTCAAAATCTCTGCAGCCCATATATTATCATTTTTTTATTTTTTTAACAACATTAGAAAGTCACTGTGAGTCAGAAGTCTTACCTACGAACCCAGCTTTCCTCTAACCCTGAGCAACGGATTCTTTTTTCATTCTATTTGGGTAACGACAGAAAAGTCGTCACAATAGCAAAATTGAATATCATTAATTTGCGAAAGTTTTAAATAAGTATTCATTGATTCCTTATCAAAAAATATGAAAAAAAGTTCCCATAAAATGGGTATGGAAATGCATAGTTTAGAGATACAGGATGTTAAAACTTTTTTAAATTAGGTTTTTTCCTAATTATTTTGAATAACATTATTTTTTTATTTGAAATTGCAGTAGGCTGGACTAATAAGAATAATAACTAATAGTAATAATATTTAGTAATAAATTAGGTAAAATATATAATTTATTAATTTTATTTTTATTTTAATTTTATTAATTGTGATTAATAAATTATATCATTTATCTCATCAAGGAGGCCGAATTGGACAAAATATCAAATGATAACTTTTAATTGGCATTAAACGGCCTACACAATTTTGATATCAAAAGAAAAAAGTGAGTGGAGCACATATTTTTTTAATATATTACAGTGATAAGCCATTATTTGTACGTCCCTCATGAATTTATCAACATTTTTAGCATTACAATATGTAACACTTATAGTAACTTTTACCCTCAAAATTTCTCAAATTCCTCAAAATCAACGCACAATATTTTATTTTCTATAAGATATAGTGTTTAAGTGTAGTTTTTGCACACGTGCAGAAAATCTAAAGAAATAGTATCTGTATACTGGATCAAAGGGAAACTTAAATCTAGTCTCTTTTTTATCAAGGTTCGATTCTAGTAAAAATTCAAAACATTTTTATATGACATACACTATTTATGGTTGGTATGATACCTGTTACTATACATTCGAGTTTCGATGTTAAAAAATAAAAAAAATCATATTTAAAGTTTTTCTACAACCACTACAAGGACAACTGTATTTTAAATATTATATTTAATTTAACGTTTTTCAAACAGAGTTCATTAGACTATATTTCTACTAGGTACATTATTTTAAAAGAAATTAAGAGTAAAAGTAACTTAAACATTCATAAAAATAGAAATATTTACTGTTGTAGATTCTCAGTAACAATAAAAAAGAGGAATTTATATTGTAAACAATGAAATAACTGGAAGCTAAATTTTTTACCTGCTTAGATATATTTAGAGCCAGTGTCTGACGATTTTTTTTACGATGGCCCTAATATGTTTACTTCTAAAGTTGATAAGAACCATCAGTAGAAGTCCATATCAGTAGAAAAAAGAAACAGAATATCTCCCTTTTTGTCGGTCGCGCGTACACAATGCTTTTTGTTCGGCCTATTTGTTCTGCTTGAGCGTAAGCGCTCGGTTCGTTCGGACTAAAATGCCAAAGTCTGGACGCGCCTTTAGGAGCAATACTTTTTTTGTCCTTTATTTTGATATAATGCTGAAAATCTCACAGTTACATGTCTCACTCTACACATATTAAATTACATAAACGTAGGATATAGAATATTCTGTTATGAAACGACTGATGGAATAGCAGGCATCGCGGATTTAAAAAACATGGAAATAACGACGTTATCGTATAGTCGGGGTTGGAAATTTTACTTACTCCATTTACCACACCAGTATTTATTAACGAAAAATCCAAGAATATTTTAAATGCATTATTTAATATTAGAACATTTAATAAGCTCATGAATAGCAACTTCCCTTTTTAGTTAACTCGGATATTTTAACATTTCTGAAACTTAATTCTTTCTAAAACAATATTTTCTAATTGGTAAAACGTAAAAAATCGTTAGATCTGACAACTCTGTTGGAACTGGTCGTTCATCTGGCCGCAGCTATAAACGCAATACATCCGGCCAGCCGACGGACGGCCAGGTCGTTGCGACCTGGGGTGCAACTTTGTTCGTGTTTCAAAGCGATAGCAAAGTACTTAATTTGTAGCTTGATACACTATGTTCAGTAGCCACATCGATTCGTAGCGATATTCTGATTTCTCGCTTTGTGGCGAGGCGACAGTCTAGACACGTGTGCAAGAGTGTGATAGTGATACCATATTTCGCAGCATTTGAGCGACAATAGTTTTGCAATGAACATAGTACCGATCTGGTTTCGACATTGCTTCTAAACGATCGGTTTCTAACTTGAACAAATTTGCACCCCCTGTCGTCAGTGAGTTAGGAACGTCAAAAGTTTATGTCGTCCGATCGCGACCAAATTGGTGGGTAGGCTATGTAAGCGACGGTGCACACGGTCCCACCATGCAAAGTTGGATACGACGCGCGACGTTTCGTTTATATCTTCATCAGGATGCGACTAAAAATTTGATATAAAATAAAAATGTAGGTTGATTTCGGCATAATTGGGGACGGACTACAAGATGAGGCGACGTCCTCGATGTTTCGAACCGATGCTTCTAAATAGATGAAATCATCAGGATTTTTCTTAATTATGGGTCGATTGGAACCAAACTCGCCACGTGGGAGAGGTACATGAATGGAGTTCAGACATCGCTATATGGTTCCTTCCATTTAATATACAAGGAGCAAAAAGGGGAAAACAAAATTATAATTTTAATTTCGATTTTGAAACCTAACTTTTTGAAGTGAAACTTTTTTTCGCGGGCTGGGAGTAAAAAAGACCGTGACACACGCGATAGCGAAACGACAAGCGAGACGAAAAGTGGTAAGGACGCGCGCTGGGAGTAAAACACAGCCTACACCTACAAACATGTAGTGAAGCGACGCGCGACGTGTTTTATTTCACGCGTATAAAACTATCTTTATTAATTAGATACTATAGACAAAACATAATTACAATAAAATATAGACTGGCAAACAGACAGATAGTCATTTTAATACAAATTTTGTCAAAGTCATCAAACTATTTATTAATTTTTAATTTATTTCTTTTTCAATATTTCAAACTACACTTTTTCAGACATGCCATTCAAATCCGTCAATTTCATAGGTGTAAGAAGTTTCACTTCAAATGTGCGCACATATTACACACACAGTTTTTTTAATTACCTATTTATATGATTTCACCCTTAAAGGCAACTTAAGTATAACATTTGTTATTAATTAATTATATCTAATATTAATTGTTATTTCTTTTTGTTAAGTTTTTTTATCTCGTTCCTCCGTCTTTTCTCTAGGAAAAATCAACTTAACAAACCTTTATAATACTTTAATATATTTTGACGTTTTTGCAATTAGTTATAATCTTCGACGCACTGTATCCGATGTGCTTAAATGTACAAAGACAACAATTAGTAATAGTACAATGACAAACATTTCTACGAAGCCTATCAGCAATCTCACGGGATGACAATCCTGCATTTATTCAGATCATCAATATACCCCATACACAATATCAATATACCCCATATACAAAATTTCAAAAAAATAGCATCTCCGGTTTTCCAGATTTTAACAAGATCCAAACTTTCGACTAACCCGGTATAACAGGCAATCAATGATATGAAAAAATACTAACCGTTAATGATGGAGTATCAATGTAATAGAACAGGTCATTTGCTGAATTCCATGCTAATCCGTTGCTGATATTAACTGGAGCTATTTCAATAGCAGGATTATCTAAATTATCCTTTGTAATTTTGTAAAGTACACCATTGTTAGGTGTTAAAGCACCAGTGCTAGTATTTTCTGCACCCATCGTTCCTAAAAGCAATATAGGTTGTAATATATCATAAATATATTCTAAAAAATCAAATTGCTAATAATTTTGTTAGTATTGTATGAGTAATCACGATTTTATATTTAAAAATGTTTATACAGGGTGAGTCTTAAATAAGTGCAAACGTTTTCAGGGCTAGTAGATCTCAATAAAAGAAAATTTTTTTCTTTGTCGTTTTTCAAATAAGTCCAAGGTAACCGAGATATTTTACTTTGAAAATTAAAAAAAATGATTTTTCGCTAAAATTTTGAGAACTACTGTATCTTTTTTGGATTTTCTTTCTTGTAAATTTAATATATTACCTATGTTGTCATACTATAAACGTACTAGGTTTATAACTATTTTTTTTAAATTGCAAATTCCAAATTTTCCTAAAATTTTTTTTTCGCGAAAAAAAACCATAGGTGTCTCCAAACCAAACCAAACCATAGGTGTCTTTCTGGGGTTGAAATGTACTACCCCTAAAAATATTTGCACTTATTTAAGACTCATCCTGTATAAACATTATAATAAAATATCAAAATATTTATTCAGTAATGTCATTTCAGTCATTTTGAATGTCGAATGTTATTAATGTTTTATGAGCCGAATGAATAAAAAATTACCAAACCACAAACGGCCTTCTTTGTCAGCTTTTCCATCATTCATTCTACTAGTAGGAAACTCTTCGGAAACAGTTGTAAGTACCTAAAAAATGATAATAAAATTGTATAGAAATAAACTACGATCGAGACTACGATAGACATCCTGAATAAAGATTTCCATTAAATAAATTTGGTATTCGCCAAAGAATGAATGAATAAGGAAGTCTTAATATTATTTTTCCATACCCCTCAATAAACTATATCTGTTAGTGAAAAGAACTGAAGCATAATTTACAGCATTTAAAGTCATATTATCGTCTGCAGTTTAAACTCTATTAAGGTACGTAAAAGTCCATTACTACTTTCTTTAGTTATTGGTGGGAAATCAAAGCAAAACTTACTGATAATAAAAAATAAAAATAAGAATGTTTTGTAATTACATTGTGTTTTGTAAGAAAACACTATTCAATTATACAAGAACCTGTTTTTATCTATGTTACTGACGAAGAAGAAGAAGAAGAAGAAGAAGAAGAAGAAGAAGAAGAAGAAGAAGAAGACTCCGATACAATGTAGCCGCCTACAATTTGTTTGTTTTTTGCTGCGTGTACGTCAGTGCACGTACGACGAAAAATACGCACGGACACGCATCCAATGTAACCACGGTAAAACATTGAATTTTAATCATTTGTTGATATGGCAATAGTGTTAGCGAGTCCTCCGTCCAGATTTTAAAATATAGATTACGTTTGATTTGTGTAATCTGATTACTTTATTATTATTAATTTAAGTTAAATTAGCAGATTTCTTCTAATTTAACTTAAATTACTAAGAAATTGCGGTAATACAACTTGTAGTTTAATTTTTAGGATCATATAAGTCTGCATATGTCTTATTATGCTTGTTTTATATCAACATTTTAACTCGATTAATATTTTTTTTACATAGATTTCATTTGCGAATTTAACATTTTTTAAAAGATACTAAAAACTTGAAGAGCAAATATAAATACGTGATTTTTTTTTCACTGTATGTGCGTGAATCTGCTTTGTTTCAATAAAATACTAACCCACGATCTTTCTAAAGGTGTCATTAAATCCTGCAAAGCTAGTTAATAATAGCGTTGACGATACTCACCCGTTGATTTCCAATTTCGTTTGTCCCATCCCACTCCACGGCTACCACCGACCTGTTCAAGCCCACAATAAGCAGGTTAGGGTTATTTTCCGAGGTAACGACTGGCGTAACGTTTCCGTTTAGTGTAATGTAATGAACGAGCGACGTGTTGTAATGGTAACTAAATACTCTGCCCGTGTGAATGTCCACGTAAAATAAAATATTTTTTCGGGCGTCCCATGAAGGCCCCTCAGCGTGATCAATAGGATAAGTAACCTGTTGTATAATTGGCGTCGATAATTCTAAATTCGTTTGTATATAACTGAAATATATATAATAATAATTTACCATAAAGATGCATATAAGATACATTATAAAATGTAAATATACTGGGCGATCCGAATTGTATTCAGAAAAGTTCAGCAGCCCCCCCTCATATTCTGCAAATAAAAATAGTATATGTAATGTATCTCCGAAACGAAGCATTTTAGGACATACATTTATACAAACTTTTTTACTTATTTTTATATTCCCAATAATCTGCTGATGTTCCCCGGTTGCAATTTGAACCACCCTTTACATTTAATCCTTAGTTTGAATACTGAGCGTTATAATAGATCTGAATTCACAAGTTTAACTCTAATATATGTCTTTCTGTGCAATTACAACACAGAGTATTGCATTTACTTTATTAAATGTTGTAGCAATGTTTCAAATAGTTAAATAGCTGATTGTTATCAAACTATACATGTATGTTTTATTTTAACAATAAATTCTAGAAAATTAAACTAGTCATTTAAAGATGGTCATCCTCTATATTATGTTATACAAGGTAGTCCGAACGGTATTCCGAAAATTTCAGCAGCACATTCTACAGATAAAAATAAGTAAAAAAGTTCGGGTAAATGTATGTCCTAAAATGTTTAGTTTTGAAGGTACAGGATGTAGAAGTTTCATTTTTATTTCGATTTTTCCCAAATAATTAAAGTAAAGTAACGTCATCAACTTATATGTTTTGATGTCAATATAACTCCCATTTGTAGGGGGCACCACCTACATGTGTTTTAACTATTTTAAAGAGTAATAACTTTTCGTCCGTACCCGTATAAAACTACTGAGTGAAAGAATATACATTTCCGTGATTTTTTACGCAAAAATATGTATCCTGGTAAAAATCACTACGAGCAACCGTTCTCAAGATATTTAGAATGGAAATAGTCAATACATGTCATTATTAAGAAAAAATACACATGTTGAGCAGATAGTTATTTGACTGAAATTATAAATTTAAGAGCTTATTATTTTTTTTATAAGTTATAAGTTTTTCTTCAAAAAAATGGTAATAAAACAGTTTCTGTCGGACTTTTGGCACAAAAACATTTCAAATTTATGATTGCAGCCTAATAACTATTTAGTCAACATATGTTTAATTTATGTCAATGATGACAGGTATTGCTAATTTAGATTCCAAATATCTTGACTATCATTACTCGTAGCTATTTTTACCAAGATACCTTTTTTAAGTAAATAATATCGTAAATGAATATCTTTTTACTCAGCAAGTTTACATGGGTACAGACGAAAAGTTAGTACTCTTCAAACCAGTTAAAAAATGTCTAGGAGGCGCCCCCTACAAGTATCAGTCATATTGATGCCAAAATAAAATTTATCATGTCAAAAAACTCCTAGGCACCAATTCAAATATTAATATTACTTCAGAAATTATTTGGAAAAAATCAAAATAAAAATAAAACTCCTACACCCTGTATATCCGACACACAACATTTTAGTACTTACATTTATACGAACATTTTACTTATTTTTATCTGTAGAATATGCTGCCGAAGTTTCCGCAATACAGTTCGGACCACCCTGTATAATATCATAATATCTTTATTTGACGAATTGCTATATACGATGAAAAAAAAATGTTTTCTAAAATTCTTAATAAATTTTTTCATAGCCATTTCACTATACACTATTTAACTAATAGATTTTACTTATTAAAAACTATTTACGTATTATTGGTATACATTATTAAGAAGTGACAAAGACAACTAGATGTTTTAATTATCCATATCCATATAAACTATTTATAAGCTATATATATTTTAATTTTATTAACTCAGTTAATTAAAACAGAATATTTTAAAAATACTTACGGACTGCCAAACACAAAGCACACAAGGCAACCTAGAAAAATATATCCAATCATTTTATTTTGAATATTTGCAACGTTTAAATGTTATTTATCAAAACGCTGCTGGTTATATTACGGCTTCGTATTTAGTTAAGTGTTTCCTTGGTGATAAATATTAATAAATTTAAAAAAATAACCAAAATGTACTTATGCGCTATATGTATAATTATATAAAAAATGTTTTAATTGGAAAGTGGGGATATTCAGTAAGTCATCGTACTTATATTTTTATCATATATCAATAAATGATAGTTTAATAGTTAAACAATAATAAGTAGCATGGAAAACAGATAGATTTAATTAACTACGATTATATTATATTAATTATCAAGATCATTAATTTTATTAACTTGCAGGTAAGCATCACATCCAGATAAATACAGAGTGGTTAGAGAAACGATAAGCTCTCAAATACTTGCCGTGAGAAATAGTTCAGATTGCTTACATTAAAAAAAATGGAGAACGCCAAAAGAGATACCGCCTACTCCCATTTTACCAGGGCCAGATTTGTTATTTTTAGACATATTAAATTTAATATATGAACAAAAATGAAATAATGAGGGGAACATAAAATAAAGGAAACGTTTGGGGAAAACAATCTAGTAATTAAATCGGCCAAGAGCTCGAAATTATTTTCGAGTTCGAAAAATGTTAGCAGGGCACTTATTTGTGATGGCCTATAAGAAAACGTTTTTTTTTCATATGCACGTGAAGAGGTATTTTAAATATTGCTAATATAGTTAATGAAAATTTTGCAATTTACTTTTGGTAAGGCCGTGGCCCAACATACCTGCACGCGTAGAGCGGAGCGGACAATAGAAAGAATACGCCTCAATCTGCCTGTATGTGAGGCTACTTCCATTTACTTCACTGCATTTAAACGCTTCGCGGTCCTCTCCGCTCTACGGTACGCTAGGTCGTATGCCTCATGTGGGGCCACGTTTTAAAGCGTATTTTTCTCTTTATCTCAAGTGGTCTGGGTTAATGGAATTAAACAAGCTAGGGCTCGTTCAAAAGAGCGTTTCTTTAATAATGGTAATAATCTGCTATATAAACTTTCGTTTCCGTATATTTGTGTCTTTGTAGAAGGCGCTGTTTGACATAAAGAATTAATTAGCAGGTAATATATTTCTTTTTACATAATTAAATAGAGATAAAATTTCCAAAAAATCAGCGCACTCCTTACATTTATATTTTCTCTCTAAAGGATAGTAGAGATCAAATAGGCTGCCGCGCTGCGTAGGCATATAATCTAAAATTTATAGTAATAGGCTATAAAACAAAAAAAAAAAGGTAAATGGTTACGTCAAAATAATAAGATATTCAAGCGCAAGATTACTATATTAAACAGGTTACCTTGTAACTTTTGGACCAATATGAGCGAAGTTGCAACTACGTCCAGGGATGCTACACAACGTATAAAATCATAGATATAGGAATAAAAAATTAAATGCAACCGACAAAGAGAGATAAATGGGCAATACAGTTAAGGAAACACACTTCAATCAACTGAAAAGTTTGAACGACATACACTGAAAACAATAAAGTACACAATGCATATCGATTCGGAAATGCACTCTCGGACTGACGTCAGTTTTTATCCCTTTATCTATGAGTGGTAGCATTTCTATGACATAGTAGATGACGTTTCCGAGAATGGCGTAGATTTCATGCAGCTGGACGTTTTCTGAGAAAAGAATACATCATAAATTTTAAAGACATTTAATTTAAAATTTTCGTGCATCCAAATATATTTTACAAATTTGATTAATTTTTTGTAGGTAGTCCTATAATCAAGAAGACGCGCAACCTTATGGGCGATTTCGTGGCACAAAACATGTCCGAGATGCAGCTGGCGTTACCGTTACATGTCCGAGATTTAGTTTAGCTCTGAGCCGCTGCGCGCTTATTATAGTCGTTTGCAGCGCAGCGGATAAACAGTACTGTACCGTTATCCGTTTTTTGCACATTCCTACATAGTTACAGCGTTGCCAGAACTACGGATTAATCCGTAGATTCACAGATTTCGTATACAGTGCGTTAGTAATACGGATTTTCTATCATTAAACAATTTAATATAATATTATATAGTATGTCCCCGGATTCTCTTTACAAACAAAAAAAAAATATTATTGACATTTTGAGAAAAATTCCTCACAAAAATTTTGCTTGTTCTAAAATGGTTAATCCCGTTCATACTTCTATAAATGTCCTTAGCGTTTTAGAGAAAATTAAGAATGCCACGCCCTTTCTAATTTGAAGTTCAATAAAACACAAGTTTACTTAATTAGGATGAGTTGCATAGAGGCCACTAGCTTTTTAATTTTTAACAGCCGGGTGGTCGGGGTTCAAAGATATTAATAAAAGGGCGCCACGAGATTATACTCTATGAACTCGGCATAAAAGATGTTACTATTAAGTAGACTTCAACACTAACCTCGAACTGTTGAGTGTAACTACCATGAACTTCAAATCTTACTATAACTATTTGTACTTAAGTGACTCTAACTTAACTATGAGACTAGACTGTAAATAATACTACTAAAAATGGTTAAGCAATTTATTAAATATCAAAAGTTAATATATCAAGAAATAAAATTTAAGATAAATGTAATTTAAATCAAGAAAACTAACTAAAAATATGACGTCATAATCCCCCTTACTTAAACTAAGTACAAAAAACTGGGTGGATTACAAATATCAAATCTAAAATTATACTAATCTAAACAGTCTTACTCTAAGCGTTGTATAAACTTGAAACAACTCGGAAGTTCCTCCGGCTGAGCTACGGTGTATAGCTACAGGGTGGCTACGGCGGTGCACTGCAACTCGGTGTACTGTCACTGGAGCCCACGGATATCAGCAGACGTACGGATGCCGGCCAGGTGTAGGACTTCAAAAGGTGAACATAAAAAAACCCAAACGAGGGTTTATGATGTCCAACGGGTAACTCTACACACGGGCAACAGGAACGGATGGAATTCTGGACTGTTCTGTGCTACGGTCTGGATCGGTCTTCTTGCTCTTGGAACTGTTCGGGGACTTCTTGGGCACGTGGAATCGGAATATCGGTCGGAAAATTCGGCTATTTAATCCCTTGACGGAAATTTGGTCGGTGGTCCATACAAATTCAACAAAATCCAACCACGTCTCTGACCAAATATGTTTCGGAAGCCTTAATCCTTCTCTACGAAGACCTGCTACTCACCAACAGGGAATGTTTCACGAAACGGCAGCCAGTTCTTCACGACGATATTCTGACGGTGGATACACAAGAAGTGATGCAAGGATTCGATTTCCTTCACAAAATCAGATTTCAACCGGAAATCTCCCTCCAGGATATAGATAGAGAACTATATATGAACTACCATGAACTTCAAATCTTACTATAACTATTTGTACTTAAGTGACTCTAACTTAACTATGAGACTAGACTGTAAATAATACTACTAAAAATGGTTAAGCAATTTATTAAATATCAAAAGTTAATATATCAAGAAATAAAATTTAAGATAAATGTAATTTAAATCAAGAAAACTAACTAAAAATATGACGTCATAATCCCCCTTACTTAAACTAAGTACAAAATCCTGGGTGGATTACAAATATCAAATCTAAAATTATACTAATCTAAACAGTCTTACTCTAAGCGTTGTATAAACTTGAAACAACTCGGAAGTTCCTCCGGCTGAGCTACGGTGTATAGCTACAGGGTGGCTACGGCGGTGCACAGCAACTCGGTGTACTGTCACTGGAGCCCACGGATATCAGCAGACGTACGGATGCCGGCCAGGTGTAGGACTTCAAAGGTGAACATAAAAACCCAAACGAGGGTTTATGATGTCCAACAGGTAACTCTACACACGGGCAACAGGAACGGATGGAATTCTGGACTGTTCTGTGCTACGGTCTGGATCGGTCTTCTTGCTCTTGGAACTGTTCGGGGACTTCTTGGGCACGTGGAATCGGAATATCGGTCGGAAAATTCGGCTATTTAATCCCTTGACGGAAATTTGGTCGGTGGTCCATACAAATTCAACAAAATCCAACCACGTCTCTGACCAAATATGTTTCGGAAACCTTAATCCTTCTCTACGAAGACCTGCTACTCACCAACAGGGAATGCTTCACGAAACGGCAGCCAGTTCTTCACGACGATATTCTGACGGTGGATACACAAGAAGTGATGCAAGGATTCGATCTCCTTCACAAAATCAGATTTCAACCGGAAATCTCCCTCCAGGATATAGATAGAGAACTATATATCTTGACTAGTCCAACTCACAAGAAGGCATAAATAAAAAATGATGTACTAAAATATTTTTCGACAGCCATATTTCACATCCGGTCAATGAACGAACTAAACTCAAAAATCCCACAATTAAATGAACGAATTGCACACTGCGATCCACATCAAAAATAACCAATTTAACTACGAAATTTTATCTGATAATTATAAAATATCAATAACCAAAACAAAGGATAAATAAATCCAAAAACATCTGATTTGATCTGACAGTGACAAGTGACGGACAAAAGTGATGATCAAAGATATAAAGAAATGGACAAAAAGCCTACTGCTGGTCGGCCGTTTCCAGTGACAATATTGTTGAGCTTATGGAGTGTAGAGGTAGTTGAACTGTAGCTTGGATAATATCGCGGTGTATATTCGGTTGCATAATGGTAAAATACTAAATAAAATAATATTTAACAATAAAATTATAGTAAACATGATGCAAAAATAATAGTTATTTGCGATAATTTATGAGCTAGCACACAGAGGTCGTTGCGAGGAAATTTGACTGTTACAAGAAAAACATGAAAATATGGTTGAATTTTTCCGTTAAAGCCCTAAAAATGAAAATGCGTTTCTATGGTAATATCAATTCGATTTCATTCTTTGATAGATAGTTATTATTAATTTTGATTAATGTCATATTCTTTGCTGTTGTTAAAGTCTCATATTTTCCTATCCGCAGCATTGAACTAAATAAATTTTGTGCTACTTTAACATCTTAAAACAACAAAAAACACGACGTTAATTAAAATTTTGTGAATAAAAATCTAACAAAGAATGCAAAAGAATTGATATTAAGATAAACACCTACTGATTTTTAGGACTGCAAAAATTCAACAATATTTGCAT